CACGCCTGCCTAGTAATTTATATACATTATTATATTTTTTATTTTAAGCATTTTACTGCTACATATTTAAATCTAAAGAAAGTATATTACTAGGAAAATTTCCTCTAGGTTCAGGTCTTAGACGGGATTCGAAAAATTTTTTATCTAGTAATATAAATTCTCTAGATTTAGGTCATTTACATTACATGAATAAGGGCATGCCTTCCCTATGAATGGATTAGGGAGATCATCTCCATTCCACAATGGGCTGAGTGGTGGATCACGGCATGGCCTATCCTTCCTATATCACTTTCCTTCGATTTTCGATTTATCGTCATCGTCTTTCATCCTGTTCTAACTTACAAAAGTTTTGAATAGATCTCGACACGAACGAAGTAGTACACGACACTTTGTTCGTTCGTTAATGAGGACGACACACTGAACTAAGAATTTCACTACTTGTTATGTCCCATATTTGTTTGTTTGCGTATGGTCGAATCGCACTGGTGTGCTGAATGCGGTATCATCGAAGACGTTTGTTTGATATTGATGGAATGTGAACGAAACGAGCCACTAAGGTTTGAGTAGATCAGGGATTCCCAAACTCATTTTGTGTACTGTCCACTTTGAGAATAAATATTTTCTATCGTCCCATTTTTCACCTACATCAAAACCGCTATAACTTCAAATTGAATTAATTACTGTGAGCTATATTAGCGGAGATTAAACATTCATTTTAAACGCCCCTAACCCGCAAAACTAAATTTCAAACCTAAGCGCAGTAGGTAGTACACAACCCCCGTTTTTTTTCTGGGTCTCTTTCCGCCCACCTTTAGGCCTGCAGCGCCCACAAAGATGCATTATTTTTGGGAAAGGCTGGAGAGTAGATGATAAAAACGTTATAAGAATTTAACATATCTTCTAACAAGGAAAGCCAAAATTTCTGTTGTTTCGTTCTTAGACCGCGCCTTTGTTTTTTATTTAGTATTTATACCATTCTTGTCTGTATAGAGTGACATCTTCATTGTAAAATGACAAAACTCTCTAATAACGATAAAAAATTATATATATATTTATCTGTTCACAACGGTGACTACACACATAAACGTAACGACCGTAGAATTGAGCAATTACATACTGAATTTTGCACCGTTCACTATGATTACCTACGTACTTACGTTAAAACTAACTATAATTTGACTTTCCGACAAACCATCACCAATTTCCTGCAAACGTCGCCATTATAACATTCTTAAATTAGGTGATTCACAATCGTGTTTCTTTTTATATTATTTTAATGAAATAATGAAATCAACACCGACGCTGGGAAAAAACACTGACAAAGAATGAAAATTATCGAAAACAAAGCCCAAAGAAATATTAGTATTGTCTATAGCGTATTCAAGTTAAAGTAGTTATATCACAAATAACCATATGACAAACCAGTTTCCCACAGATCTTTAAAAAAATATATATTTTATGATCTGTTTTCATAATATTCGGCTTTTGCTTTGGGCAAGCATTTTACAAAAAATACCAAAATTTAAGTTCTGTGTCTTATTCCGTTTACGATCTAGAGACCCGTAACATACGGACATACAGACAGACGACATGCGACAGAGTTAGAGCAATAGGGTTCCGTTTTTACCATTCGGGTAATGTGCGGTACCCTAAAAAATATTCCTTATGATTAACCCTTTCGATGGTTATGATAAAATACATGTGGTTTTACATTTCACGAGTTCGATTCACGGTGGAGGCAGGTGATTTGAAAAAAGTAACTGTGAATGCAATTCTATTTATTATTAAAAATAAAACGATGTCTCCTTTCAGTATAATATCATATCTTCAATATTATTAATATACATACCCTCCATGTGGCATGACCGTGGTCCGCCTTGTATTGTATTCTAGCAAATGTCTATAAACACTAGAATGTTCTGGACGTTTATATATATATATTTGAAACAATTAAAGGAATGCTCCCTAAAAATTTGAGCCTTGTGCGAGCAGGTTCTGAATTACTATCCCGATGATATCTTTGCTATCTATCGTCTGGTACCTGCAACCCTCAGAATAGGTTGGCAATTTATATTTACGCTTAATTATATGCAAATTACGACATATTAATTTTACAGTCTTGTGGCAGCAGGTTAATTTTTTTTTGCGTTTTCAACATTTTAAGTGATGGCAACTGCGAGATGCCTGCCAGAACGGAAGGTACTCTATACGAGCTAGTGTGACCACGTTCACTTTTTAGATGTTGATAGATGGTAGTTGTTTGTAGTACGCAGGTAAATAGTCACCAAAGTTAGATATGTATATTTATTGCAGCCTTAGATCTAAGATTGCAGCCGAACGTAATTACAGAAAACTAGTTAGTATGTAATTCTTTGCTTGACTGTTTCGAATGCGCACCCTTAATGTACTCGTGTAATTAATATATAATATCAATAATATTAGCTTTTATGACGCGCAACCCGAAGTAGGTTGCTATGTCAACTCAGTATGTGCGGTGATGAGACTGTACATACTCTCTTTATTAACAGATAATAAACTAAATTTAAAACAAATAAGATTTGTGGGAAGCAAATTAGTCGGATGGATCAGTAGATCTCAGACTAGGAGTTAAGTAAACAAAATTCTATTTCGTCCGTGACTTAGATTATTAAAAAGTAATGGACACATATTTTTAAGCTATTGTATAGCTTTTATCGCAGGCTTTGAGCGCGGCGACCGAATCAAAAAATTTCGTAGCACAAATATGCTGACAAGAGTGCATAAGATACCAATTTTTGCCATTCCTGTATCGATCTAAATGGCGCAGTGTGTTAAATTTTTGCCACGGGACCAACGTTCTACGCATCACCGCGGTCGTCGGTTCAAATCCCGCACTCGTATTTTAATTTTTTATTATTTTTTCCCCTTTTTTTATATATTTGTTTTAGACCCTGTTGTTATTTTTATTTATTTTGTTAATCAACCAATAAATCGTTGTGATGTCGCTGCTAAGTCATACGCCATTTCAAAACAATATATCTCTCTTATGTTCTGATTATGAGATAAAAGAAAAATTCGTGTCCCAATACATTTTGATATATCTGCCTGATAGACTGAGAACAAAAAGTAGAGTGACGCTCGTTGCGTTTCAGCTTTCGCCGAGTTACCCTCCAATTTTCATGCTCGTCAGGAAGAGCTGCGCACGCATCCCACACAGACACACACACACACACACATATATAAAATATACATCCATAATATAAAAATGAATTGCTGAATGTGTTGCTAAGCTCAAATCTCGAGAACAACTGAACCGATTTCGATAATTTTTTTTTAGAATATTCCTTGAAGTATGAGGATGGTTCTTCCGCGGAGAAAAATTATAAAAATTGTCTGAAAAAGTCCAAAAACAGCACTTTCCTATACTCCCATACAAACAGTTCTTAACAATACTTAAAAGTCAATTTGAACTTTAATACCATTCCATAAATTTCAAATGTTAGTGGAGAGGTTCCAGGAAGGCAAAACAATTTGAGTGACGTGATGTCAATAGAAGTTTGGAAAAAGCAAATATACCATTTTCAGTTTTTTTTTTTTTTATAATTATATGAAGAGTGATTTTAGTCTACACTACAGCTCTACACCGAAGCGAAGCGAGGGCGGGCCACTGGTATAAAAATATAGCCGAGCTACGCTTGCGACACATTTCCTTTTCCATAGGATTTTTCTATTTAAAACCCGTACAAAAAGAAGTTTCACTTCAATAATTGAATTAGCTATGAATTTTAGGTCTCCCATCGAATGACCACCAATCTTCATACATTGCTAAAATTACCAAGTATTCTTATATTAACACTGGCTGAAAATGTCTAAATTACGAAACAATCAATTTCTGAGATTGAAAATTTATAGTCACGATTTTCCCACTTACTTTAAACAAAGAAACTAACTAAACATCTGCTATATATATACATTTTTTTATAATATAGGGCTTCTGATATAACTGACATCTAACCGTGGGCCATGACTTATACCTTGTGCAAAGCAAGACATGCCCAGTCAAAAACCTCTTTGCACAAACAAAAACACTCAACGTTTAACTTTAGCCAAACGCAATAAGTTGTATAAACCAATTTTCCGAATGCATACTTAAGTTTGCCATCCATGAGTTTGACACACTTGCCTTATGGAATTCGATCAAATGCTGTCGTTTGATTTTGACTTTTATGACTGTTGAAATAAAATTGTTTTGACGGAGGTTCAGGTGAAATATTAAAATGGTGGAAGTCAATACGATGGTTTTCGGTCCATAAGGTCAGGCCTGTACCTTATAAGGAGGAAACCAGTGTGTCACTTTTTTATCGCGCTGTTATATTTAAGTTTGAAAATTGTCTTCATAAATAAGGTCTGCAAATGAAATACTTATGAACGTTTGAAATAAGAATGTAAATGAAATTTCAGAGGAATTCAATAAGAAATGGAATCAACTTCAATCTACTTAATACTTTTAAGTATAAATGACTAGTGCTTGCTCTGGCTGTATGGAAATATTGTTTTCCCATACAAACTACCCTTTTCAGCCTCTTAAATGGTGAATTTATTACTAGGATAAAATTTGTTCCATGTCCTGAGACTCAAGCTATCACTGTACCAAATTTAATTCAAAATTAATCGTGAAGATGTAACAGACAGAAAAACAGGCAGACAGACACACTTTCGCATTTATAATATAACCATGGAAGTATGAACTAGCCAATGCTATCCCAACGACCTCCTCCCCCCCTCCTACTTACTCTAAAATCCTTATTAATAAATTAATAAACACGGAAAAGGCTTAGATTAGTTACGTCGTGTTTTGTTCATGTGGATTAAATGCAATTTGTCATTCAATAGCCAGACAAAACAAGGAGTAACTAATCCAAGCGTAGTCTTCGGTTTATTAATAATGAGTTATGTGATGATCTGTGAAGTATAAAAAAGTCTTTGGTAAGGCTGGAAAATGCATAGTATCATAGGGTTTACTAAAACGTTGAAACCTTTTTCGCCGGGACCTTTGTAAAACATTATCATACTTGTTAATTAAAAAAAATAAGTTACGTAATATCACTTGACGTTTAACCTATGACTCAATCTTGTCGACAGGTGCACTCGTACAATACTGTGAAAGAGTCCATAAATTGTTTCAAAATATAACTGTTGTCCAAAATCATGAGCTCAACGATACCTTTTCAAACTTACGACTGGCTCAAAAGCGCCTCGGTTTACAATAAAAGATTCGCAAATATACCATCGAAATGGATCAAGGAAAATACAGATGTCCTACTCTTACTTTTTAACAGCAAAGGGGCAGACAAGGACAGCGTACTTAAGAAGTTCTTCCATATTTACGAAACTGTGAAACATTCCAACATACCCATTGAAGTTATTTATGCATCCGTAGAAGAAACCGAAAAGGAAATGAGAGCAAGTTACGAAAATCAAGCGAATTGGTTTACTTTCAAGTTTGATGATGCCCTGGTACTCGATCTCATGTATATGTACGAAATTACGTCTGTTCCACACATTTTAGTGCTAAAACCGGATTGTACTGTAATATCACACCATGGTATAATAGATTTGGAACAATATGGTAAAAATGCAGTGATATCATGGCTCTCCACAGCTGCTTCGACGAAGCAAAGGGCGTTGAATAAGGAAATTGATATTTATGGACCCAAATGGAACTATTTAAAAACTAGCGGCGAGAAAAAAGAGTACCAAAGGAAGTTCAACTTCACGCAAAATTTTAAGAGATCATGATATTTTACTATCGGTGGAACAGTATAATGATGTACGCACCTTATCATCATTTATGTATTTTCTCAAGTTTGCATATTACTCGAAAACATCGCCGCTCATAGTTTTATTAAACGTGGGATGCAGACACCAGAAAGTAAAATATGTGGCATGATAAAAAAAAATGTTTGGTTAAATAGTGCCTTAACCAAATTTGTGTGTTCCATCCTTGTCAAGGGGAGTGCTAACCGTCTCTCCTTTCAATAGACACGTCGAAGCGAACAGTCATTTTTACTTATATACTTAAGAAGCTTAAAGGAAACTATATCGCGATTTAGAACAAACATGTTTTTAACACATTTTAATCAAAGATTTATCCTTAAAAGTTATACACGAGACATAATAACGGGTTGCAATAAAGTACATGATAAAAATAACAATTATTTTACCGCTTATCTCTCGATTTTTTTATTAATTCTGTAAAATAAAACTGAGCGGAGTTGGTGGTGCCATCTCTTGACAACTTAAATAAGTTATCAAATAAGTAACCTTTAACGTTAAGTTGTCTTTATTTATACATTTCAAATTTACAACAAGATAATGGTAACTATTTAATGCACAAAATTTTATTGCGTATATTTTTAATTAATCTATTAAATATTATCATAATACCTACTATGTATTTTGTAATGTTCAATGGAAACTAGGCGAGTGGCTACCTGCAAGGCTGCAACGACAAATCATCGATAAACAGTTTTATGTATCAACATAGATTCATAAATGTCAAAACATTGACAGATATTCTTGCGTGTGCGCCGCATTTTGTCCACGTAATAACACGGGGCGTCCACGTCCATACAATTGATTAAGCAACGTTTGAGCCAGTGAGACAAATAAACATGCGATCGATAAGATCTACAGCACACTAAATAAAATATACATTTATAACTTTAAAACTTTCTTCTGGTATATCTATCTGGTAATATTTATCTGTAATTTAACTTAAAACTGGAAGTCCATACATTTTTGGAATCTGTGCATTTTCCATTCATTATGTGGTAGTTAAATAACATTGGTGTCAATTCTGGCGTGTTTCTCTAAACTTAAAACTAAATTTAACATCAGTCTCTCCTTTTCATTCCGTATAGAGAATGACAGGGATGCACTGTTGCCAAATTTAAGTTTAGCTTTAGAGAATCATGCCAGAATCGACATCATTCTCTTTATTAAATAAGAAAGAACGTACTTGCGTAGTTACGTACGCCATAAAATGTCTGAATGATATATGAAATTGCAATAAACGACATGGACTATGTACATATTTAATGCGGTCAAACGACTCCCGTGGGATTTTCTGAAGTCCCAGCAAATGATTAAGGAGTCTATTAAATTGCTTTAATAAGCTTTTTCGTTCATTGGACTAGCGCCTCCAGATGCCAATAGCGGCGTACTAAGATCATTTCTAAAAAACGTGTATGACGGAATTGTACCCCTTCAAAAATTCTATAAAAAACATACATATATAGACTGTTAAACACTATACCCTGTCTGCGCGTCGCGCTTCGCGCTCTTGAATTGCGCAGGGTAAAAAAGGCCAATTATATCTATCTTTTAAAAGTGAACCACTTTTTCTTTTTTCCTTAAATTAATGAGGGTGAAACCGCAGGGCACCTCCAGTATTTTATAAGAGAAATTCTACATTAAGATTTCTGAATTAAAACAATAGATACTTACTTATTTATAAAAACTGAATAAAAATCGTAGCGGCTATAAGAATATAATTAGGTAGGTACTTACTTTAACCGTCTTCTAAGTTTCAACCAACACACTTTATTCTAAGCGTCTAGAACAACAGTTTAATCAAGCAAGATCAAAGGATAATGAGGTAGGCGTTAGGACTGTCGTAAAACAAAGTCGCGGGTAAGTATGTAACAAGAACAACCCGTAATTGCATCACAGATTTAATGTGGGTTAAAAGTAAACCAGTCTGAGGTGTCTAAACGGTTTTTTGTCAGGCGGTTATTAATCACATCGCAGAAAGCTGATGTGCTTTAATGAAATAACGTTCTGATAACATCACATAATGCATGCGGCCCCAATTGTCTTTGACATTATTCCGAGACAGGTACTTCATATTCTTTACAATCGAATGTTGAAACATACTTTTACCCATTGTGGCGATTTTTGTGCAATCATCGAGACAGGTAGCCCGGGATATGATTTGTGCATTGTGAACTACTAGCGCCATCTAGTGTTGGGTAGCAGAAGCATTGCTGACTCTTTCTTTTGGTATTTATCAACAAGATTACATTAAAAACCGCCAGTAATTAAATGTTCATGATTTTTTTTTAATCTAATTTATTTTTAATGAATGAAGCAACAACTTTAAATAACCTACTGTGTGCCGTCCAACACGTTTTCCTCGTCGCAGATGCACACTTTTGAATGTAATGTAATTATTACATACATTACTATTTTCTCTATTAAATCTATGCATTCCTTTTAATAGCTGCAGAGGAAGTGACCAATACTCGAAGATATATAATGTTAAAAGATGCGTCGGCGCAGACAATGCGGCGCTGCGTGTTGATGAATGCGTTAAAACGAACGGCCGCAATAAAAGACTGGTATGGCATACGCATACCAAAGTTAATTTTACACAGCACGATTTGAAACGGAATAACTCTATATAATTTGGAGCTACTTAATGAAGTTCCATCAGGTGTTGATGATAATAAAGAAATTTACGTTATGTTATGATCGACTGTAGCTAATTAAGTGATTATCATAATTTGTAAGAGTAGGTTCCATCTGATTGAATCTAAATTAGCAAATAAGTGGTGTCGTTTCTGGCATGATTCTCTAAACTTAAAACATCAGTCTCTCTTTTTCATTCTGTATAAAAATGTTGTCAAATTTAATTTTAGGTTTAGAGAATCATGTCAGAATCGAGACCAGTATCTACATAATTCAAATAATAATAATAAATAAATAAATATTTCCAACACTCACACCAATTAGTCTAGCCCCAAGCTAAGCACTATAAGGCTTGTGTTATGGGATACTAGGGTAACGGATAGAATACATATATTGTACATATATAAGTATATTTATATAGAAATACATATTAAACATCCATGACTGGTGTACAAATGATGAATACGAGATTCATCACACAAACATCTGCCCCCACCGGGATTCGAACCCGGGACCTCTCGAGTCGGCGACACCATGAAACGCGGCGTACAAACCACTCGGCCAAGGAGGTCGTCCATATAAAAAATACACTTAAGATTTGATACAAGAAATCATATTACCTTAGGTACTAAGATTTTGCGCGATGTTTAGATTAGAATAGGATTGCTTAATTTTTTTTTCTTCCTTCCACTTTAAAATATACGTTCATTTGTACCTTATTCCTATTCTTATAAGAAAAATATAACATTGGAATCGTGTTGTTTGGATAATATCGACTAGTTTGTACGGCTACAACAATAAGATAATCTTACAGCGTACCTATATAAAATTGAATTTGTGTCATCATCATCAACAGCCTATCCAAGTCCACTGCTGGACATAGGCCTCTCCAATTGCACGCCACCCAGATCGATCTTGGGCTACTCGCATCCAGCTCCTGCCAGCCACCTACACTACGTTTGCTTAGACGCGGTCTCCACTCCAGAACTCGCCTACCCCAACGGTTATCGGTTCTTCGGCAAATATGACCAGCCCACGGCCACTTCAACTTGCTATTCCAGTGGGCTATATCGATAACTAGCCTTGTCGATAAATACCTCGAATTTGTGTACCTCAAATAATTTTGATCAATCTTCACACTACGATCTATACGAAGCTGACTGTACCACTTTAGTAGGTAGGTATATTATTTAACAATATTATTATATTTATATTATTGTATTTTATTATATATTTATTGAGAATATTATATTGTATGAGAATCATTTAAAAAAAACTTATAATAACAGTCCGTCAGTCTTGCATTGTGAAGCGCCCTCGTCATAAGTCACTCTTCACTAGGAGGTCCTGTGTGCTAGCTGTAATGGCGGTCGAGGGCACGGCCCGCGGCTATTTGTTAGGTAAATGCTGGACCTAACAATACACGAGCCTATGTTTACGACCTTAGGACGGCGGAGTGAACACTAAGGCTGTATGTTGTTATGTTCGAGGCCATTATCATTGCTCAACCTCAAGGACTTATTTTATTCGCAGCGGATCTGGAGCTTAACTATATTTGAAACGAGTTATTTTGGCTGTATGGGCACTTTGCTTTCCCAGAAAGGGTAAAGAAATTTAAATAAAAATGAAACGAGTTAGGCTGTATAAACATTTTCGTTAGTCAGTAGTTTATAAAAAAAACGTGTGGTTTTAAGAAACCACGATGCGAGAGGAACTTTTTATATCATTAATAAAACAAAGTCCTATGTCGGCTGGGATTCGAACCCGGGCCGCCCGCGTAGCGAGCGAGCTGTCACTGAAACTGATAGTCTGATTTTTTAATAACCATCAAATATGTAACAAGACATGCTTAAGATAAACGCTACGCTTTGGGAAGCTAAGTCAAGTCCTGACATAGTCGATACCACAGTGCCTAAAGACGAAAGTCTTCAATTAGTGCGTCCTACCTGTAATGACATACGGAGCCGAGACGTGGACACTGACGGTACGGCTGGTCCACAAGTTGAAAGTTGCTTAGCGCGCTATGGAAAGCGCTATCTATGTTCGGCGTTTCTCTGAAGGATCGCATCAGAAATGAAGTAATCCAAGAGAGAGCCAGAGTTATCGACATAGCCCATCAGTTGAAGTGGCAGTGGGCTGGCCATACTTGCCGAAGAACCGATGACCGTTGGGGTAGACGAGTTCTGGAGTGGAGACCGCGTCTAGGCAAACGTAGGACGTCCTCAGGCACGATGGAGTGACGATTTGCGCAAGGTGGCTGGCCGGATCTGGATGCGAGTAGCCCGAGATCGATCTTAGTGGCGTGCAATGAGGGCTATCGTTTTTTGTCTCACCAGATGGCGCCACTGTTGAGTGAGGTCCTGAAGTGTAACTTTTAAAGTTAGTAAACACGCTCGTGATATCAAAGTTTACATTTTAATACAAATTAATCGTATCTTAAACATAATCGCCCATGCCACAGTGTTGCGCAGTCCCGTTTTGTTCGGAAAAAAGAAGGACAATATTTTTTCTTAGCTCCGCTTTTAAATAACTGACAATCATTGACACGTAACTCATATTTGCCATAATAAGTCTGATTTATTACCAAATATTCACAACTATTATTTTAATTAGAAAAAAACCGCGTAGTCAACCCGCAAGCACATTTTGACATTTCGGAGACCTCACGCAACACAAGCGCCTCTGGCGGCGGTTTCAGACGCGATAGCCTTCATTGGAGAGGCCTATGTCCAGCAGTGGACTAGGATAGGCTGTTGATTGATGAGGTTAAACGAATTAATTTGAAGCGATATAATAAAAGTTTCACTTCGAAAATCTTTATGAAAGGCGGGAATTTTTTTTGCCTATTGTAAAATAGATCTTTGTAAATCGTTTTATAAATTGATTAAAATTTATATTATTTTTTATATTTATAGTTTCAGTTTCACACTTGAGCCAAAGGCGATCACAATACATAATCCTATTGGTTGTTTTTTTTTTATTCAAACTTCCTTACGTTAGGTATTTAAAAAGAAAAATACAATTAACTTTATAGGTCGCAGAGAATGGCGAACATGAAAATGAGTTATAGTTAGACAATTAATCCCAGGCTTGCCACAGGTCTTAAAGAAGCGAAAATAACTGTTGTTTTGTCAGTGAACAATCGATTGTTTAATTATAGTGTAGTGATAATTCAAAACTTGAAAAACAAACACCTGCTCATTGCTTATTTAGGTGGTAGAAAAGCCAGAAAACTAAAAACTCCAGTGATTGTACACAAGGTGAACAAACTGCAGTAGTTTAATTTTTAGTTAAAAAATCTAGCGTCGTGTTTTAATTAAAAAAAAATGCACTTTATTTTGTACTTGTAGCGACCTATACTGTGAAGAGATGATGCAGTCTTTATCACCACTTAACAGCAAGTGGGGTAGAGTCATTTGCCTACCTGGCTTCAAATAATAAAAAAAAGTCTTGCAGAATTAAGAATACCTTTATTATCTAAAATCACTGGTATATATTCATTTGGCAAGATTACAATGCTAAGCGACCACAGCCTTTAAACGCCTTTACCATATAGCTACACCATCAAAAGGCGAGGATGCCGTATGTGGCAGGTAGAACTGTTAAAATTCGGTGGGGTGGAGTCATTTGTCAGACCTTTATAAGGTGCTAATCGTTCCAATTCGAGCGAGGAAATATGCTTTTTTATGTTTAAAGGGTGATAAACAAGCATATGGCCCGGTTGATGGGCCAAAACATAGCCTATAGACGCCTGCGATACAAAAACTATCACTCACGCCGTTGCCTACCCTGACTCACTGCCGGATTTAGGGGAGGGCAACCGGGGCGAAAGTCCAATAGAGACTTCGGAAAAAAAAATCTTTCAAATTCCAACTAGGAAACACTAGTAAACGTCTTTTCCTTTGATTTTTTTGCTCTTTTACCTTTACTCCGAGAACTCGATTTCAACGAAATCATCAACGATTTCTCGGCGAAAAAAGCTCGAAAGGTTCCGTTCGTTAACTCTAAGATTTAATTTCAGATAATTCTTGTTCCCGTTTATATTTATGTGTTTGTTCAATACTAAGGGAATCTACTTGGTTCACAACAAATTATTGAAAAACTCAGCTGAAAAAAAAATGTTTACTTTATTTGGGAAAATAATTTGGGGTGAGGGGGCCTCCGCTCTTCTGTTGCCCCGAGGCCTCTGGACCTCTAAATCCGGCCCTGCCCTGACTCCATCCCCTACTCCGTGGAGTCCTGGAACCTAACTCACCGACAGAAACATAACGCCACCTTAGTGTTATTTTACTGTGCTCTCTGTAAAGTGGAGATTACTTGTCCGTTTGCGTTCAAATTCCAGCGGAAAATCCACTATGCCCTACCTGTTTTAAAAATAATATAAGTATAGTAAATAGAAATAATTCAACATGTTTAGTAGCTACTAGTAAGTACTACATATCGGTAGCTTAAATTTTAGATCATTCGTTCGGACATCGAAGGATGTGAGTTCAAATCAACTCCCGCACAGTGCCTGAAAGACAAGACAAGAATTTAGTTCTTAACAAGCTCAATTAAACATATAAAATATAATTTAATTTTTCACAGGAGCTGTTCGTGCCAATCAATACAAAAGGCGAGTTGTACGAGGTGTGCCCTGAGGAGCTGACGCCCGCGGAATGGGACTCGGCGGGGGAGGGGCCGGCTACCCCCCCTCCTCCCGACGCAGGGACCAAGGCCCATCGCCTCCCCCACCTGTTGAGTCTGTGGCGACTACCCACCAGGGTCAGGCTGCTGGCAGGCACAGTGCCTATCGAGATGGCGCATGATGTTGGAGGTGAGATCATTATTCAATGCTAAAATTATAAGGAATGACCTTCCTACGCGGGGGCGATGTGCAGATTTTTGTAGGTCTTCTTTCGTTTCTTCGACTGGCCCTCGTAGCCCGCACAGATCTTGACGACTTGGTCTTTCTAGTAGTACTTGGGGTGCCCAACCGGCCTTCGCCAATAAAGCATTCCCATGTACGCACGTTTTGCGGCTCAAACCTCATCCATGAATTCTTTGTGGCTCAGCCAGCAGAGCCTATAAGCCAAAGTCCACCCAATAATGTTGTGCTACGCCACCAGAGCTTGACCCTGATGCTGGGACCATAACTCATGCACTAAACTCTGCGTAGACATTGTCGAAGGCTCTATTCAGTAGAAGGACTAGTTTAAAGATGTGATTAATAGAAAAAGACTTATATTGAAATACGTTTAAGCAAATATGTAAAGAAAAAATAAAAATACTAAAATTTTATACAGTATTACAGTTATTACGCAATTTAACATATGCTCATATCTATTATCTATGCAGATGTATCTCTATTCAGATGTATTTAATTTTCTAATTTCAGACGACCTTTTGCTGCGAGCATCAGTTACCGAGCCAGTTCTGGTGATGTGCACCCTTCCAGAATACAACGGGCTACCGTCTAGCCCGAGCAAGCAGGTGGACCCTCGCTACCACGCCAAGGAAGCTCTGCAACTCCTACCCCTGAACGGGAACATCAGGATACGCCGCACCCAGCTCGGCTTCGACAGCGAGAAGCGAATGTTCCTCTCCGCGCGCCTCCAAAAAGCTCTAACCTTCTGTCAACTTAACGTTGACAACTGGATCAGGCAAATCTCCTACGCCAACCACTCCGTTTTCGGCAAAGCGAAGACCACAGAAGAACATTTGAAGGAAGATCACGAACCTGTCAAGTTTGAAAAAGAGAAAAAGTTCACCTTACAAGGTCTAAAGATTGACACGTCTAGACTATTCGGGAAAAGCGATAAAGTGCTCAAAGATATTCCTGACGAAACGGAAGGGTCAATCATTTTCTTGAGTAAAAATGAACTTGAACACATGAACTATGACGTTTATAGCGACGACGAAGGAAAAGATGACCCGAAAAGTGATGAGAAAATAGAACAAGAGCTATTTTCTAATGACAAAATGCAGGTTTTTAGAGAAGATTCGGGGCAAAAGAAGAATAAATGGTTTAAAAACATAAAACTCTTAAAAAGCACTGAAAGACTAGATGAAAAAATTACGGCGATTGAAAACAACGATAAACATAGAGATTTTAAAGATCCCTTTGACCCCTCAGCTGAAAAGCATAGCTCAATAGAAAGATATCAAGATATGGCAAAGCTAATTGAAGATAGATTCGGTGGAACTCGAAAAAACGACGGTACAGCTGAAAAGAGTCACTCTTATAAGAGTCTCACTACGTCCTCATCAGATATGGGAACCAGCCAATGTAGTTCTAACCATAAAAAACCAATTCTAACCAAATCTGTTTCTGTTCAAACGGGTATGCCTGACGGTACTTACAATACTGATGAGGATTCTGGAATCAATATGAAACATGGTCGTAAAAATCTAAGCGTGGATCAAATAAATTACTGTGGTTCAATGGAAAGCGATACTAGTTCTGGTCGTAAATTGAAATCACTAGACGAAAATATGCTGAAGAAATCAATGGCAACAAAATCTTCAACAAACTTGGAAAGGAGGCAGAGGATACAACCTGATTTGATACCCGAAAAGGCTATAGTAAAATCGGAATCTTACAATCAGATCCAAAGTTGCGAAGACATAAACATGTTTGGAGTAGGTTCTCTTTACAACGATAGCGACTTTGAAATAAATTACAAACAACATTCCTTCATTACTGAAAAGCTCTGTTCAGAATTTCACGTTAAGACAAAAAGAGTTCTCAGTAAGTCTACATCCAATCTGCTTCATCCAAAAAAACCTAATGAAAAAAAAGAAGGAAATAACAGTAACAGTATGCCAACTAAAACTGAAAGGTCTAGTGATGGTGATAAACTATTAAACTTCAGGAAGAAAATAGACAAACCAAGAGCACCGACGCCAAAATCTGAAATCGAAGAAGATCTCATACCGGTTGATATATCAGAAGAAGAACCAAACGTTCAAGTAAGAATTAGGCGATCAATATCCTCAATACAAAAGCGTAAACTGCCTGTGATAGAAGACTTGCCATATGGTCAAGTCGCAGACGCTGTTCAAATCGAAGAAGAAAAAGTAGATTCGGATACCAGCTCTGACAATATTTACGCAGAAATTTGCACGCCCAACGGCCATAAAAATAGCGACGAAGAGAGTTACGACAACAATATAGACGTTTTAGCAACTGACCCTGTGATTTGTAATGTTAAGAAAGAAGTTATTATAAGGAACGATGAGAGAGCGAGGCAAATGATTGAAAATCAGGAGAATCCATTCCGACATATCGAAGTGGTAGTTATAGAGAAAACCACAGACTTCGATTTGGACAATTCCAGTATGGCTTCTAGTGATATAGAGGATTTAGGGAGTAAGAATGATGTGACGATAGCTATTGATTCTTGGGAGCGCCACAAAGCAAACAATTTTGAATCAAAAGTTCACGCTATTAGGTTAGAGATTACAAGTAACATGGATGATTATCCAAATGAAAACGAGAGGCAGATCATAGAGCCGACTGAAGTGGTGTTGACAAAAGACCATTTAAGTTTTAGCAACAGCATACATTTGAATGGTACATATCCCAGCGAGGCCATCTACGATACATTAAAGTAATTAGTCCTAATAAAATCATTATGTCACTATATGTTAATTAATTATTATAGTAACACCAAAAGTGTTAATATGCTTTTATGTAAGCATAAAATTTCGTCTAAAAAGTCGTGATGTTAAAATAATATTTCTCAAAGTGAGTCTCTCTATTTCGAATTTTATAATCATAATTTCGTTTATTTTTAATCATAGTTTAGTAAAAAGCCAGGCGACACCTGACTATTATTTAAGTATTCGAAAAAACCTTAATAATTGTGGTTTTAAATTCTATGTAGATGGATATCTACATCTACATTGTTAACTGTGTTGTATTGAATATTAGCGATAAATTATGACTTTTTAGACAGCTTTACCTACCTACCTATTTTATGATAGTTTTAATCAGTAATTAACGAAAACTTATTATTGACACAAAGTGTACCATGGTTATGTAAAAAGCACTTTATATAATAAGTAACTAATTTTATAGCACCTATCTAATAAAATATTCAGCCAAGAAACAGAATTAATAGGTGAATTGTATACGGGATAAATTATTTGGAATCTCTCTAAATTATTTTCTATGCGGTATTTACTTATAGAAAGTTTCAAAATCAAAATATACTTACGGACTCATCTATCTGCCCACTTAGTGTTATAAGTTACGGTCTGTAGCAACAACAACAGTTAAGTTGAGCAATAATAACATATTTATAAAAATACGAAAAAGATGGATAATAAATCAGCTTCAAAACTGCGTAAAAAGTTTTTGCTCAATGTAATTTTTTTTAGCTAGGGTACGACAAATCATTTAAGCCTAAACTTAAAATGCTAGGTTGGCCGATACCTGTGCCGTGTGTATATCCTTATTGAAATGGATGTATAGTACCTATAACTGTTTTGATCAAAATCAAGCCTAGTTTCGTTTGCATCAAAGTCAAGCTTCACAATTTTTACCATCACAGTTTACTGTTAAAATAGCAATAACATATCTCAAGATGAACCTTTGACTTTGTAAAAGCAGGGTTTATAAAAATCTGGATTGTTACATTCTCATTTTAATATATTGGGGGGGGCGAAATTCTATTTTTTCTGTCAGTTAGATTACCAAAAACTAACATTCACTTATTTTTTTATTTTGTCAACCGTACAAAATATTAGTAAGACCTGATGTCATGCATATCATGTCATACATATATGTCATGTTTTACATACTATATCAATGGTTTTGACTATGTGAAAAAAGAAAAAATATGTGTCCAATATTTTTTGATAAATCTATCTATTAGACGAAGAAAAAAAACTTGTCATCGTCTCTGTTACCAATCGTACATCACAGTCTTAATCACAAGAAGCAAACCGTTGCGATCAGTGGTTTAATAACTCGATAATTACCTACAGTTCAAAAATCAAATATCTGATCAAAACGATTAGGTATCTCAACCTCCATTATAATGTAACTTTCAATAATCTTTCGCAAAGGGCGTAGCAGTTAATTTAATAATTACTGGAAAATTGTTCGGTTGAAATATAGTTCGACATTTTGTTCAATAAAATCCGTTTCAAGTTTTGAATATAAACAAAATAGAATCATGCTCAGACGACACTATTCTTTTGAAAAATAGAATATCTGTCTCTGATCACAAAAGATAGACGATTTCCAAATTCAACAATCCACGTAAGGTAGTGGAACCAATGATCGACATATTTTTCTGTTATCGTTCAATTAAAATAAAAGTAGGGAACCTTAGAAAAACCAAATGTCAAATTCGAATAGTTCGCGAGTGCGAAATGTCTGTGTCATATGTATACTGATTTTTAGTTCTCGTTACGCACATTATGAGGCTGCTATTCAAATTTTCATACAACATTAGACAATGACAAAAAAAAATACAATGACAAAATTTTATGCTACTTATTTACTTTCGCGGGCCTGCTGGAAGAAATTTCAATATGAAGTAAGCAGTGTCCTTGTACAATTTTCTTGTTCCTGTTCTTCTTATCTATTTTATTGTGTGTGTGTACTAAATATATAAATAAATGACATTCCGCACTCGCAAACTATTCGAATTCGATATTGGTTAGTGTTAAGGATACTGATAGCTCGGTGTTCTACTCGGCTCTACAGAAAAAAATGACGATCATTGGTGTCACTACCTTAAATATGAGCAAAATACAGGAGTTTTTCAGCAAATAAGTAATTCTGCTTTCAATTAACATGCCTGTGGTCTAAAAACGAAGATAATTGTTAAACGCTACACAAAGTAAACGTTTTGCACATCACCAGTACCTAACAATTGGTGCTATATTTGGGTGCTCAAACTTGAATTATTAATTAGGTAGTGTTATTTGTCTATCTCACATATCACATGACAATTTGTAAATTATAATGTACCATATAGATTTAAAGTTTGTGTAAAATAAAAACGTTCGGTGTAAGTCTTAAAAATCGATGTCGAATTTTTATCAATTCATCGAAATATGAATATGGTGACGCAAATTAAAAAAACATCTTTAATTCGTTTGTTTCATTATTTGTCTTTTGAAACTGTGGCCCACGGCTGTAGTTGTGAGCTTCCCTAAATCATTTTTTTTGCGTTCTGAGGCACAAGCAATTGACAGATCTGTAAGCGTACCGTACAGAACTTCCGATCATTATTACACCTTTGGTTCCGATTTCGGCTTCAAAACTTTTAAATCGGAGGTTTTAATCTGAGATCGAAGCATAGCAAATAGCGAACTGGTCCAAACCCGTCGCGTTGGGAGTATGCGTTAATAATAAGTAAATTTAAACGAACAAAGTTAATTTTATAATTAAATGGAATGGTTGACTGAATAATGTTTTTGTTGTTGTTAAATGAAAAATATCTCTCTTGTGACCACTTTGACTCTGACCCGACTCTGTCTCCGACTCCGACAAATCAAATTTAAAAACTCCGACTCCGGTTCCTATAATTTACCTCCACTACATCCCTGGTATAAAGCATGGTTAGAGAGAAGGACAACGATCGCTACGTGCTAAAGCATTAGCCCGCCTGACCCTGAATATTTATAGTTCATTTTTCAGCCACCAGCCGCGCTGCAGTCGGTAAGTAGTATCTGTGAAGTTAGCTGTTTATGAGAATAAGTAGATGAAGTTAGTTGAATAATTTACAAATTTCAAATTAGCGCACAACAGCCCGTGTCTATTGAGACAACTTAGCGATCGCAGCGCCTCACTTATCTTGTTCATATTCCTGGGACACTATTTTCTACAGAGATCGTTATCTTTCTTTTTAACCTCCATGGTACAAAGTATGGAATGAAAGGAGTTAGTTTGTTCTTACGTCCGGTAGGGGCGCTGATTAATTTTCATAGAAACTTTGACGATGCGATACGATTACAGTACCCCTAGCACGAACCAATACCGAAGTCCGAAATGTCATTGTCAAATGTGTACTGATTTTAGTTCTCGTTACGTACTTTGTGCCGCTGCTGTTCAAGTTTCCATACAAAATTTGACATTGACATTTCGGTTTGCAAACTATTCGATTTCGATAATGGTTCGTGCTAGGGGTACAGAGATGTCCAAGTTCGTGCTTCAGCCTTTGTGCCCTAAGATGACAATGGTTACACCCTATCACTAAGGGCTGATTCACACCGGAATGGCAGCGGTCGGCCGAGCCGCGTATAAAATAATTTCAAACTTTATCTATGTATTAAAAGACCAGTATCGCTTGAAAAGCTGTTGAAACGTCTGCTCCCGATACTGCCATTAAAGTATGAATCAGCCCTAAGTCTCATCCACTGTCGTGTCTGTCAGGTGGTGTAAGATATTTACATAGTTGAAATTTCACCGACTTTTTTCTGTTATATCTGCAATATGATTTTTAAGTTTCTTTCATCAGCTCTTCTTCGCAGCTAAAATAAGTCCGAAAAGGAGGGAAGGAAATACATGATGGTATATTTAAAAGAGCTTTGTATGTCCTAAAAAGTCGAATATATCATTTATTTTAGAACAAAATAATATAAATTAAAGTTAAAAGTGGGCGTATCCATACATGAAATGTTGCCATAGCGATTTGCAATGGTATACATATTATAAGTTGGTACGAAACCCTTGACATGCAAGTCCTACTCGCACTTAACTGCTTTCTTGGTAAGCTCTGCTGCGAAGTTTAACAAACATTTTATTCAATATAATAAGTACCTAAATATAATTGCAGCTTTACGAAAACGGGCAAGGAAATTAAATGAAAAGAATCAAATAATTTATGACAAATATACTGTATTTATTTAGTTAAATAAATTACATTTAAAATTTAAAAAATAAGAGACAAACAATAATTATCGACATTGGCGCGGATTGAAATAATTTCATTTAAAATACGAACTTCACACAGTTCATTTAAAAAATAAAACAGATAAAATAAACATAATATGCTTGTTTTATATGTTTGTGCGTTTTTCAACACTATTTATTTGTCTAAAACAAACATCAGGAATGGTAAAAATAAAAAAAATATTACCTAAATGCTCGATTCCCCCTTAATATTAAAATTTGCATTTTTACAATATACAAGAATAAAGTACATACATGTTCTTTATTATTGAGATTATAATATAATTAATAAAACTGCACTTACATCAGCTAAACACATAATGATGCAACTTTGCAAGCTACACGCAATATGCGCAGTTGTTGTTGTCGTGTTAAGTGTTTATTAAAGGTAATTTTTCGTATTGTTACTAAAAAAACCTTTGATTCACATTTTGTATTATAATTATATGTTTGATGTGGCTTGAGATGTTCCTCTAGCATGATTTACTCCCTTAAAAAAAGTTACTAATACCTACTGTTATTTATCAAATATACAAACACTCTATGGAAAAGTTTATATTATAGTACAGATGACAGAATAAAGTGAAAATGAGTTTTTTATCTCGCGTAATTGGGAACGAGCTTAAGGGAAACACGTCAAGCCACAAGGATTTGGTCTTTTGGGCTTATGCGATCCTTATGGATTGAATAATTTGGAAGACAGCCGAGCCACACACTACGAAGATGAAGAGAGCTAATAGCCATGGACCGACAGGGTAAGAGTCTTCCTTTTCCTGAAAAACAAAAAACAATAATAAATAATGTTGCAATTCATTGAAAAAGTACTGATATATAGTAATTGTTATAAGTAAAATAAGGGATAGGATGTCCCATGGCAATAAATAATTATACATTTTTATAAAAAGTTACACTATAAAATTTGTTTCAACAGTATAAAGTAAAACAGAACTAGAAACATACTTATATTATAAAATAATAATTATATATTATATATTAATACATGTAGTATTAATTAATAAAAAAAAATCGATATTGTAGAACCTTCATACTAAAAAGGTGTTTTTAAAAATATTTAAAACATCTTGTTCAAAACCATAAGCATGCAGAATGTTTACAAGAAAGAAAGAATGCATGCTTTACATTTGCTTCTATGTTTCTAGAAAAATGAACTCTAAAGTCGTTCACATACAATTCAAATTAACAACTCCATATTACTTTGTTTTTTTCCAATGCCACAGGTGATTTAATCCATTCAAACAATGTATAACAGATTAATCAGTAATAATTGTATCAAATAAAAGATAAGTGCAAAATTTGTTTTTGTATTTCCAAGGACAGTTTTATCAATTAGCAAAATATAGTATGTTAATGATGTATGAAAGCTAGAGAACATATGAGTGGTGTTAAGCAGAATGCGACCAGTGGACATTTTTGAAGCAAGCAAACTATTGCTGCAGTTTGTACTGTGGACCGATAAAAAAGAAGAAAGCGATCATTGGTAATTTTTGGTATCAAACAGACTCAAACTTTAACAAGGGATTGTAGTACAAATTTATCGCTGGCTTCAAAAATGCTGGATCGTTGCGTTTTGCTTAACAATAAATTATACACATATAGTAGTAGCAACTGAAATTTGATACCAAGCATATAAAAAAGTAGCTCTAAGGAATTCCAATTCATCAATAAATATGATAACAGTCTCATAATTAACAGTTCACAGTGAATTTTTCTATTAAATAAGTAATGTCACAACAATAGAATCAAGATTGAGTACAAGATGGCACAACAGAATGCTTGAGTGAATTGTGATGAAATTACCTGTTTGAATAAAGTTACAGGCAATATTGGGACATAGTTTTATTACATAATTATTTCAACAAGCTTATAAGAATCCGTTTAAGAGCTTAAGTCAAACTTATTGCATAGATATGATGTTGAATGTTAATGACAAGTAAAATATACAAATTCAGATAAAATATTGGTTCACTTTAAGAATGATATCTGGAATAAAAACTATGTCCTCCCCGGGACTCAAACTATCTCTATGCCAAATTTCACCTTAATCAGTTCAGTGGTGCATGAAGAGGTTACAGACAACCAAACTTAATAAGGATAGTAAATCACACAAGTGCCTGGAAAGATTTGGATGAAATTTGGCCTGCATGTTAAGGAAAAATGTTAATTCCTTTGCGATTCTGAAAAAACTGTAATACACACAAAGTTGTGGGTAGAAGCCAGTATAGGTTTTTAAACTCTAAAGTTAGTTATAATGAGAAGTATTGATGGCTCATTAAATAAATATATATTATCCAACTAATATAATAAATGTGAAAGTTTGTATGTACAAACACACCTGTTTATATGTTTGTCTGTTTGTTATTCAATCACGCAAAAATGGCTGAAAGGATTTAGATGAAATTTGGTGCACATATAGTTTATTACCTGGATTGAGACTTAGGATACTTTTTATTCTGAAAAAATGTTAGGTTCTTGAGGAATTTTCAAAAAACTAAAGTTAACAAGGACGGAGTCAGGGAACACCACCAGCCACTAGTGAATAAAAATAATGTGTTATTTTTATTTACCTTGGTTGTCTTGGGTACATTGCCTCTCATGGTGATGTTTTTGCTGGCCATTTCGTTGGCAATGCGCATTCTCTGTTTTGGTGCCATTTTGTTTGATTAGAAAGTATATTTGTCCTGAAATAATAATAAAATACAACATCAATACACTGGATTTTATTTGTAATTAATCTTTACATTAATGTTATACATAATACTATATACAATTGACAGTTTATATAAGCAAGACCAATAATCACTGTATTAATATGTTGACTCAGGATTAGATGATTATCTTCTTTATTAAATAATAATTATTTTCAGAAAATCATAAAATAATTTTACCTTACAGAACTACACACAAAAAAAATAAGTTTTCTCTGTCGATTGAAAAGTATGACGTTTATGAGCGGTGATAAATTAAATGACGATACAATACGTGGCTATACGTACACAAGGGGTCAAGAATATTGACAGCTCCTACAGTAATGATACCAATTAACTAATAACCATAATAATAATACTTTCGCTGTTATAACTACTATAATATGGCACGTAGATGATACAATTCAAAAGAGAGGTAATACGCAAAAACAAACCAAATGTTTACACAGCTTGCAACGGTAACAATAATGT